GATAAAAATTTTGGTTTGGCACTAACAGGTCGGTACTGCCGAGCGGGTCGGCACGGGCACTTCTCAATAATTTCCATACTTAGTTCAAATTTTCAACTCCTCACAAATTTTAAATCAAATCTCGACCTCGAAACCGCTTTCACCCTCGAAAATCATGTGTGTCGTGCGGCTCGTGGAGTTATTTATTCTCAATAAAAAGCAAAAAAAATGAGAAAAAGCAATAAACGTGGGTTGCCTCCCACGAAGCGCTCAATTTATTTTCTTGAGCTCGAGTTTCCCAACAAAAAAAAAATCAACCGGGATCTAGGAAAAAGTGACGATCATGCCACGCCTTTGTATTTTCCAAGAGAAGTCCCGACGGAAGTACGGAACAAAGACAGGCAAGGTAAGCTCTCGTGGCTGAATTCTTGTGAAACCGAGCACGGATATCAACAACCACAAATAGGAGAAATAAATCTTTACGAACTGAGGCCCCATACTCGACCTCCGAAAATATAAAAATATCCGTGGAGCACATCGAATCAATCTCGGGCATCATTTGCACTATCTCGAGCGTGTACTCATCAAGCTCAAGCATCGAGAGCACGGGCGTAGGCACACTAAACTCCTCCAAATGGTCACGATCCTCAATAATACGAAACGACGACCCAAATGACATGGGAACCACATCATACTCAACATCACAAGTCGGCTCATCAATCAATGCACACATTGGGTCAACGACATCACATAATAGCTCGGAATCCTCCTCAACAATATCCACAAAATCATCTACTACCACATTCTCCTCCTCAATATCATACTCCCGAGCACTATCTGTAATATCCCGTTATTTTGTCAGTATAAATTATGTTTTAATTCTGATTTATTAATCTTGTCGAGTATTAAGTTTCGGAATTAATTATTTTCAGTTGAGATTACCGAAATTTATTTTCGACGTACCGTTTATGTTCGGAATAATTTTGGTAATTAAGTATTATGTTTAAAAGTTAATTAGCCTAATTAAGTGATTAATTAAACATTAATCACACAATTAGGGCAAAAAGCCGTAGCAATTTTTTTCCAAATACTCCATAAAAGCCGTACGGTTTTTGCTAGTAAATGTCCTATGTTTGGAGTCATTTTTCCTTCTTCTTAAGTAAGAGACACATGTCATTTTAAGGAGGTAACATGGGTTATTAGTCACCATAATTTATCTAAGTAATTGGCAAGTGTCAAGATTAAGAGAAGGCCACATCCTTCCCTCATCATTCCCCATCTTGATCGGCCCTATTTATTTGAAGTATTTTGGAAAATTTTCCAAACTTTGCAGCCTATAATTGTACCATGCGAGCTTAATTCTAGCAAGTGAAAGTGAACATTTTACTATCATCTTCCTAATCAAATTACTTCCTTTGGTTAGTATATATACCTATAAGCGTTTAGTCCAATAAATTCCCATCCTTTCATATCATATACCTGCCTCATCATTCTGAAGTTAAGGAGTGAGTAAGTTGATATAATTATCAAGAAGTTCTTGGGGTACTGAAGGCACGACAATTAGTAAAGTACCGCACGGCAAGCTTCCGCACACAAGTACGCGCACGCGAGCTCATAGGCAGGTTCCGAATCCTGTCGAACACTTGAGGAGGTAAAGCCATCCTCAACTCATTTTCATGTTAATAAGTCCATTCTAAGTTGTAGTGTTCAACTCATATTAAAGAATTCCTAGCTATACCATGTTAAGGTTCGACTATGCTTAGTTAAATTATGATCGAGTAATTTTTCATTTTACCCGGCAACTCACGAACCATTTATGTTTAAATGATCAGTTTACCTCATTTTATGTTCAGTTACTTGATGATGGTCGAGGAAAAATGATGTTTTATTCGTGGAATGGCTCAAAGCCGTCGCCAGCGCTCATCGCGCGTGGCCACGGGCGGCACCAAGTCATGTCATGTTACTTTCAGTATGGTCAAGTTCGTCCGTGTGATTCATGTCTTGATAGCCTCATAATAATGTTTCATGTTTAATTGGTCTGGAGTTGCCGAGGGAAAAGATGTTTCGGTCGAGAGACGGCGTATTGCCTTCGGCGGCGCGCGGCGCGTTTGCCACGGCCTATTCAGTTCACCGT